CACACACACACACACACACACACACACACACACACACACACACACACACACACACACACAGAGGCTCCTCACGCAGGGTTTTTCCTCCTGAGGCGAGGCTAAAGCATCCAATCTCAGTCTTTCTTGTCTATCTCTGGCACTGATAAAGGCTTATAATGAACTGGGGACTGGAACTCAGTCCCAAGACTGATGGCTTTATGGCCCCGGCCAGATCATCGCCCTCTGTGGACTTCGCTTGCCACCGGGTGAGAACAGAAAAATAGTGCCAGAGGGAAAGAAAGAAACAGGAGGCGGGGGAGGAAAAGAAGGGAGGGTAGGCAAAGATTAAAGTTTTACACTTCAACCTTTGAGAAGCATTTTGCAACACAGCCTTCATGTCTACAGTTTACTACGAACACGTTTTCTCAGATCTGTGCCGACTTTAGGCTGAAATAAACACTCGGAGTTTTGATAAAGCAGTCTAGCGTCACGGCCACAAGCCAACGAGAGGACAAAGGTCCTCCTGAGCTTATCGTTCTTTATCTTATCTCCTCGTTTTGGCAATGTAAAATTGTATTTGTAAACTAGTACGAGTTGTAAAATTTGTTTGGGTTGCATTCAAGTGTGTGATAAGGCACTGTGCTTCTTTGTCATTGTTATTCCAGCTCCCTTGCTGTCCTTGATGCCACAATGGGTGCAACTGGGTTTCATAGCAGCAGCAGCTTGCTAGATTATAAACCATCCAGTATCTCTAAGCTTTACTTACCTCAAAAAGATTGGCCGCTTCATTCCCGTACTGAGAGGAAATGATCTCTGATTGGTCACTGTACCATTTAAGGCCACCCAAGAAGCTGTCAGCATCTAGGTCACTGACATCCAGCTCTGACAGGTCAAGTTCGGGGAGGTCCGGGCAAAGGGGCTGGTCTTCACCAACCAAGGCAGCACACTGGAGAAAACAAACAGAGAACAAAGGTGATCAGGGGGAAATCAATTGGGTCTGTAAAGAAAACAAACCTTGACTTATTTAAGTCAGCTTGGGAAACAGTTGGGAAAATGGTTAGTTATGAACCCAGTTTGATGAAACATGTGTGTCACTTTCACGTGGTATTACTCCTACCAGCTGTAATTAATCTATAACTTTTCCTACTATTCCCACATTTATTATTAACATGGCAGCTACGACAGGCTGCAGGTCAGCTGCTTTTTGCAAACTGAAGCAACCTGTTTCCACTTAGCTTCGCTCGACCTCCGGCATACTGTGTACACTGTTGCTGCTGGTGGCCTCCTGACTGCTAACTGCTGCTGCCTGTTGACATTTTGTTATTCACCAGCCTTTTTTATGTAATCTAGCCAATGTGTACCACTTGTAGCAGCTGTTTCTGCAACATCCACACGCAAATCAACAGCCTTGGCTGCGAAAAAGAGTGGTGAACTGGAGCTGGATAGGTGCCTTGACAGGAGGAGGCAAAACAAGTTCACAGATTCCTCACTGTTTCCTACAGATGTATACTATGTGAGTCTGAGTCATATAAAGCAAGTCTGCACAATACTAGGAAAACACAGTTGCAATAAACCCTCATMTTCTTTGCTCTTTTTCTTGTGATGTCATCACTCTCAACTCTATTTTTTGGGCATCTAAACTGGCTGTGGGCATTTAGAGCAACAAGGATCCATCAGAGTGGCAAATAYATTACAAACACTTTGGGATATTGGGTTTTTTGTACAATTACATTCTGACAATGACATGAAGGGTGCCTGTATCATGTAACAATACATRCTATTATGTCAACAACAGGATATTACATAGGCGACATGTGATATTGCAATGGCGTTACATGGTATTAACATAACATAACGTCATTCAACTAGATCTGTTACAAAAGGACAACTGATATTACCAACTTTTAAAAACTGTTACGGCCAGWGGTCTTTCTTCTATGTTTATATTAAAGTATGGATATTAAAGTATGGAT